CAACAGAGCATGTGCTTGATAAGAACCCCGGAACAGATGCCAGCGGATTTAATGTGGGACAGGAGGCCCATTGCAGGTTTGCAGACTGCTGGCAGGGTCAGCTGTAAATATTCCCTCACAATCAAAGGCATTCATCTAAGGATTACATGCTGGGGGCTTTTTGGTAAAGTAAATTTGCGACTAACGGGACAATTACTTCGAACAGGGATATCAATAGTGGGTAATGCCACTGAAGCATGTGAGCTGATTTCATAACCTGATGGAGATTAGCCTCTTCTGTAAGCGAGCAAACCTATCGAGGGATATGAAGTATTGGCCCTGTAAAGCCTGTTCGTAGAGGGGCTGTATTTGAAAGGCTGAGGAGGGGAGGAGAGACTGCGTGGGGTAAGGAACGGCTGCGAAACAAAGACATCAAGGCCTGCTTTCACCCAGTTTGATGCTCACAGAACAAAAATATCCATAGCAGAAACTGTGCCGTATAAGTAACATCTCCCGCCTCTAGTCAGCGCTATGTATAAAATAATTGGTGGCGTGATGGGATGATGACAAACCAAGAGGTCTTGGGCTAAGCAGGCACGGGGTGATGCAAGGATTAACCTGAGATGTTATTCCCCGCAGAGCTGCCTCTCCAGGACCGCGGACCCTTTGGGGTGCAGTCAGCTCCGCACGCCCGTTTGATAAGCGAGTCCTCCTGTGGCCTTCGCCCCAGTTCGGTGCACCCGGAGGTTGCTGCCATCTTGAGGAGCCCTTCCCTCTCTGGGTTCGTTCTCCAGCCCCGTCTCTACCCCTCCTCCCCCATCATCTCAGAAACAAATTCGGCAGAAGGAGCTAAGAGGGAAACTAACACCAATCCCACTAAATTCTACTGTCTGGGCTGTGTTTTATAATCAAAAAGAAAAACCGTTTTATAACTAAAAAAAAAAAAAAAGAGAACAATTCCTCTCTTTCCCCCCGCCTCCTCTCCTGCAAATCCTACTCCCTCCTTCATTGGAGAAAAGGAATGAAAATGCAGAAAAAGCAGGCAGGAAGAATGGAGGGTGTGGAAAACACTCTCAAGTTTCTATATGTGGAATTAAAAATTTGCAGAATAGCACTAATTGCGCCCTGATGCTGAATAGCTGACCTGAAGCAACGAAATCAATCTTTGGCTTGTGCAAATGCGCAATCCTTAATAGGAGCATCTTTGACTCTTGTTGTGCCATTGCTTTCAGTAACAAGCGCCCCACAAACCCAAGAACCACCATTTTTCCCCTTGAGGAGGGTTCACTCGAGCCAAGTGCTGCACTCATGCCTTCTGAGTGAGGTGACTACGAAGGGATGCAATCTTAGCCACGGGACTACCATGCAAATCCCTCCTGTGGCCACTCACCGAGGAGGCGGTGGTACCCTGCCCTGGGCAGCAAAACGCTCTCTCTGCTGCTATTCCTAAGGCGGGTCATCCCCGGCAGAATGCGGGATGCCACATCAGCACTGCCGTTCACGTACCGTGATGCTTTTTATTTTCCTTGTGATCTCCAGAGCCGCTCCCGCCAGAATTCCTCTACCTCTGCAGGTCTTTAAAGAGGTCGTGCGATGCTGAAGGATTTTCCCTTTTCCCTTAACGCTCAGCTCTTTGATGGTGCGGTTCATTCGTACTTCTTGCTGCAAGGAAAGGAGGTGTCAGTATGGTCCTTTTAAAGACAGGGAAATAAAAACATTAAATACGGTTGTTTTGTAATAGACTCCTGACTTCAGTTTCCTTATGCTGAGCTCCCGCAGAAGACACTGACTGTAACCTGGGTCTGAGATGTTCTGCTCATATGGAAATGGCACTGAAAGGGTCTCATCGCTGGGTGCACGGACGTGGAAACCTCTCAAATTAAATGCTGCGAATGAAAAACCTCTCTAATCCTTCCCTGTGATCACCAGCAGACTCCAAGACCTTTAAATGTTTGGGCATATTAATTTACATATCATACCGATTTTAGCTTTTTGCTACTAAGACAGAAGCTTAACTCCTCTCGCAGCCTTTCTGCCTCCACACCTGATGGCTCTTCTCTGTCTCACCACATTTGGTGCTGAAGAAGACATCAGCCTTGACCGCAGCCGCCCAGCACACACCTGCAAAGAGCTTGTGGCTACAGCTGAGCGGGATGTCTTCCCATTTCCTATAATGATTTCAAAACCATTCCTGTTCTGCTGTTGGACCGAACTGAGATCTTTAGGACATCACAGTGGGGATGGAGAGAATAAGAAAGGCAGAAAGAGGCCTCCAAGAACAGCCAGTATCTCCCCAGGCATTGCCCCGCTCACACCAGCTGCTGGGTTAAAGCCTCCAACGTCTCGACAAGTGCTGTAAATATTGAGCTTCTGGCTCTTTTAAGGGGAATTATTACCCATTTTACCCTGGTTTAGTTATTTATTACTTAGTACAATATCCAGAAATTCCACCCGGGAGCCATGAACTATTTCCCAGTGAAAAACTAATCAAAACTAGGAATTTCTCCTTAAAATTCTTAGCCTTAATGAACTGTTATTTTCCGAGCAGCTCTGGGTGGGAGCCTTCTTCCCCCACCCCCGTCCCAGGCCGTTAGGGTTACAGTGAGGTCAGTGCGGAGCCACACTCCCTCCATCTATATGATGCCCATCACAACAGCTCCCGAGCATCTCCCCGGCTGATCGTCACCTTTGGGCCGAAGCAGCCAGGGATTATTTTGATGCGCTTCCTCCTCGCTGTTGCGAAGCTATTCTCACTGCTCCTGTCATTCTCGGAAGCCAACGGTGAAGAGCAGGACCCCATCCTGCCCAGAGCGTGGCGTTGCACGGACAAAAGGAGTACACGTCCCCACCTATCGTCACAGCATTACAATGGCAAGAGGCAACAGCTGGATGCAAAGACACGAGAGGAAAAATGGGAAGACATCGCAGTGACCGACGGTCTAATGGGGTTTTGTTGGCATCAGGAAATTTTTAAAATGATGAAGGGTTTGTGATGAGGCTTAGTTGATTCATTTCCTGCAAGACTAAGTCCGGTAGTGGGCCAGCAGCTGAGAAACCTCTGTCCTTTCTTTTTTAAGGCACTGCTGTTAGGCTGCTGCTCCTCGAGGGGGACCAAACATCTGCAAGAGAAGCTGCGTCCTCAGGACGCTCCACTCAAACCCACGCTCCCTGGAGAGAAGCAGTTAGCATCATCTCCAGCCTCCTGAAACACAAGATGCTCGAATTGCTCCCAGAACATGTATTCATTCTGCCGAGTCAGAAACGAAGAGGGGCTGGGAACGGTCCCCAAGAGAAGAGCAGTAGTCCCCAGCCACAACCTGCTGTGTGTACAAGAGCTATGAGAGAATGGAATGGAATGGGAATAGGAAAGGAAG